CACTTCTCACCTCGGTGTCATGTTATGTCATTTATGGCACACATGGCTTATCAGGGGAAAGCATTAAGGCATTAAGAATCTTAACTCTGGACAGCTACACACTAGTATACTAGCTACACACTAGGTGCCTACTGTAAACTACTAGACTGTAGGCCCTATGTAGACCTGCAATTGTATCAATTGTAGACTGGGTCCATTGTTATTATTCTAAACCATCTCACTTATAATGTTTCTAGCTTGATTTGTTTCTTTTATAAACAGTGGATTTAAAAAAAAATTAGCCTAATCATTAACCAAATAATAATAATGTGGTTATTTGTTGTTGGCTGGTATGATCTAGATTGTACTACTAGGCTACAAAAACTTAGTAGACCAATTACTAAATATGAATTTGAATTTAATTAAACTCAGTCCAGTATCAGATACATATTGCTGTAAAAAGACAACAAAGTAGGTAGGCCTTAGTAATTTATTAAAGCCTTCTACTACAATAATATCAACTACATGCTTGTATAAAGTTTTTACAATTTAATTTAAGTAGCAGATTCTAGATCTAAGTCTAGTCATATAATCTATTTCAATTTCAGAAAATTTCGTTTGCTAAAAAAATGATTAGATAATAGAGCGAGATTTTAGATCTTAGAGACAATTAAATGCTTTATTAGGCCTATTATGACTACTTTTGATTTATTATGGGTGTATTTTGAATCGAATGTAGATCTAAAGTAATTAAATTTAAGTAAAGAAGTAGGTTCTAGATTCTATGTCTACCCAGCGGAGCCAGGTATTAGGCCTACTATTAGATCTTATTATTCTTATTAGCCTATTACTTTTGACTTTGTCTTTTACTATTAGTATTTGTGAAGGTCGAGCATATTTGTTTTATTAATAGTTATCTTTTATAATTAAAATGAAGTTTATTATTTTACTGTCCTTACCTGAAACAAAGTATCGAGAACTGCATTTGATCAGATTCGTCTACTTTAACTCTAAACGCAAACAGTATTACTAACAGTATTTTTATTTAGAAATTTTGTCCACATATTTATTTATACGAAACTGTCAATAATAGTATAAGGATCTTCAATTCCTAAGAGTTCAAGTTTTTTAACGTATTATTCCTTTTCCGCGGGTGCGGTTCTTTACATACAGTGAACGCGTCCAGCGCTGGTGAACACGTCCAGCGCTGGCGAACAGCTGATTGTGTTTACGTCTTGTGTACACCACTGTGGCGGCGGGCGTAGGTATCACGAACGGACGTGACGTCATATGAAAGGACTCTATACATAAGCCTGGAAACCAAGAGCTACCAGTACACAGACAGAGCGGCAATCGAAGCAGTGTTAACCTAACCTTCTCTTGTAAGTATACATAGGGTTACCAGTTTAGTATGTGTGTTTTTAATTGTACTGACTAATGCCACTATAGTAGAAATAAAATAGTATGTCTTTTTATCTTAGCCAAAAAGAGTATGTTCATATATTTAATATTTTATTTTGACAATTTGAAACATTAAAATATTTCAATACTTTCTGTATTTAATAAACATTATGTATTTTATTTTTATAAATTAATTTTTTTATTTTTAAAGCCATTTAAATTGAAAGAATACAGTTACAAGCTCTTTAATATTTAAAAAACAGTATTATTGTATCGTGGGTATGATAACCACAATAGACGAAAAAATGCGGCACTCTTTTAAAAACAACGTTTACCTTCTAATAACATGTCGTTACAGGTCGTCACAAAAAGAAACAGATTTAGTAGAATACCAGAAACAATTAGAAAAGCTTGTAATGGATTGTACCGTACAACATTAACTTTAGTATATAAATATATATATATACATATATATATATATATATATATATATATATATATATATATATATATATATATATATATATATATATATATATATATATAGATATATATATATATATATATATATATATATATATATATATATATATATATATATAGGCCCCTATATACAGTATAAAATCATAAGTATGTTTAATGTATTATTCGAATGCAGATGATTAAAATAAACTAATAGATATAAAGAAATGTGTGTATTATATTACCTGTAGAAAATACTTATACACATCATATTGACTAAGTAAAGAAAAATAAATACCTACCATTAAACTTCGACCTATCTGCACACGGATTTTAACTTTGTGAATTAAACTTTTTAAACCTTATTAAATCTGCATACACAAAAATTACAGATTTTGAATTTATATCAATATTAAGTTTAAAATATAGCACCCAAACCCCCACCACAGAAACTCAACTTTTCCTCTATTTTTCTCTCACCCCCCCCCCCCCCCACCGCACCCATTCTTCGTGCGTTTCGTTAAACGGTAACAGTGTAATGGGGATCTATGGGATTACATGACTTGTTCTAGAGTAAAATTTTGTATAACTTTACAAAATGTTGTCAAAGGTCAGTGCTACTCTAGATATGTTGCTACCAAATTGTATTACTTTATTTGATGAAACTGTGGATCTGCTTTTATAAAAATAGTTTTGTTCATGGTTTGCCATTAACTGAACTGAAACTTTTTAATAAGTTCAATACAGATATATTATGTGAATTGTTGTTATTTTTGGAGCAGTCGAAATTAATGTCAAGCATTGCGTGGGGAAGGAGTCAGGGTGCGTGTGTGTGAGAGAGAGTGAGTGGAGGGGATGTGGTGCTGTGACGTTTTGAAATATGAAAGATAATATGACAGGTAGCATGGTTAAAAACAAAGAAATGCAAATAGACTTTATTGACGAAGTGGAGTTTTATAATCGATCTGAAGTAAGTTATTGTTAAATAATTCTAACATTGGTTAAAATACACACTTTGGTTTTTGTTTCTCCGTAGACACAATATTTTTCAAATTAACGGAAAAATCAAATTGGATTTACCAAGAAAAAATGAATAAGGTCTACATATAAAACGTTTTCGGACACTTAAATTAAAATACAATCACTTATGAATTATCTCGTAATGACCCTTACATAAACTCATTGATTCTATTGATCAGTTTTGCTGCAGTGTGTAAAACATAATTTGGTAGAAAGTTGCAGAAAATTGGATTATTTAGATTTAGGCTAGTATCTATAATATAAACGGGCTGTTAGTGTTTCAGTCCTTCCTTCCTTCTTTCCTTGTGGATACATTTTAATAACATAATAACAGTAGGGTAGAAAAATCTAATTAAACTGTTTAGTAATTTTGCCATGGGATGTAATTTAAAAATAAATGTTAAAGCGAAATCTCCAAGACGGAATAATTATTGGAAAAATATAATTAGCAAAATCTGAATGCAAATTATGCAGACGTGTAAGAGTACATTACTGTTGGAATATTATAATTAGCATTGATTGATAAAAGGCTATCTTTTATTTATCTTATTCACTGAACGTACTGATTACTAATTATAATTTTTAATCAACTATTCCATATCTCTCTCTCTCTATATATATATAAGCAATGTATGTGTGTGTGTGTGTGTGTGTGTCTGTCTGTTTGTTTGTTTGTCCTTTATGCATTACTACACCTCTCATCACATCGCCGTGAAACTTTGGGAAGTTGTTGAGAATATTCCTGGGGAGCTTTCTGTGAAAAAACGAATTTCATATTCCCAGGGGTTGCACCCCGGCAGGGCGCGATTTGTTTTTCTCTATATACGGTATATAAAAATATTAAGTCGATTTTGGTTTGACATCAATCATCCGATAGCCATGACACTTTGGGGAGTTTATTATAACACTCTAGGGAACGGCTCTGTAAAAAAATAATTTTTGATTTCGCAAGGGCGGCGCCACAGGAGGGTGCGATTTTCGTCAATATATGGTATATAAAAATAATAAAAGTGAATTGCAGTGAAACCGTTCATCCGATAGGCATGAAACTTTGGGAAGAAGTTGAATTTATTCCTGGGGAGGTTTCTGCGAAAAAAAACATTTTCAAACTTGCAGGGGTGGCGCCCCGGCAGGGCGCGATTTGTTTTTTCTCTTTATACGATATATAAAAATAAAGTCGATTTTGGTTTGACACCATTCATCCAATCGCCATCAAACTTTGGTGAGTTCATTAGAACACTTTGGGGAAGGGTTCTGTAAAAAATCATTTTTAAAATTCGCAAGGGTGGCGCCACGGTATGGTGGGATTTTTCTCAGTATACGGTATATAAAAATAAAAGACTATTGCGGTTTGACGCAATTTATCCCGGTGCCATAAAACTTTAGGGAGTTGATGAATACTCCCGAGAAGGTTTCTAGGGCTGGAGGGGGAATAGGGGTATGTGGGTGGTGGGGGCGGGGGATTTAATTTTGCATCCCTCCCCCCCCACCGGAAGGATGCGATTTGGCACCCTGGTCTTTACCGTGAGCGCTATGGTGAATACGTTCGGTCTAAACAGTGTGATAGACAATGGATAGGATGGGGCGTTACAAACGCATTAAATTCAATCAGGCGTGTCATCTGGCGCCCTGGTAGAGTGCGATTAGGCTGCAAATAAAAATGTCTGATTCGGCCCCAAAGGCTCATATGGGCCGCTGAGGGCAATGTAATACGCTTTATTTTAATAATCAGAAAAATTAACCAAGGTTAGATTATTAACTGGGATGTTTCTTTTTGTCCGTAAAAAATCCAAACAGTTTCATCACTTTGCGAATGATGCAATTAGCATCTATTATTAGAAAATCAAAACAGAAATTGAGATCGAGCATCTAAGAATAGGCCATTAATAACGCTAACATATTGCATCAGCCACACTGATGTTTAAACGCGGCAAATATTTTTTTTTACGTGTTAAATAACAAATCCTGTTTATTTGTGTCACTTTAGTGAATGACGCAATCTGCATCATTGTTAACAGGATGCTATTTTAAGGAGCCAGGAAATATGTTTGTAAATATGTCTGTAAAATTTACATGATTTTCTATTATATAATTGGCATGTGTGTCATTATGTGTTAGATATTTAATGTCTACAGTTTTTCAGTTGTGGCAAGCTGTGAAATACAGAAAAAGCAAATAATGACTGACGAATCAGGTGTATTCCACCCAGGTAAGATATACTAAAGCAAAAGGAAAATTATAATGTAAACAATTAAATATCTGTGCTTGTTTAACATGTTGATGACTTTAGGAAAGTTTATTCCCATAAAAGTTATATTAGCATTAAAATTAAATCTAACATTTCATTTGCTAGAGAAATAATTTGTTATTTGTTCCTGCAGGAAATCATGAAGCTGAGATGTGCTATGGAGGAGAAGCTGATCTACACAAACATGTGGCAGAATGTAAGAAGAATCCAGGACACAAAGGTTTTATTCCTCTTAAAGATTTCAACACAAGTTGTCTCCCCTCACGTTACCATGACGACGAGCTCGTGTCTAAGACAATCAAAACATTGGCAGCCATAACTGTCCAGGTAAAGACTAAATTCACCAGTCTAGAGAGACCAGAGTTTTACCCAGGCACTCAAGTTCCATATCCATGTTATAATGACAGAGGAAGTCACGTGATGAGGTTAGGGACGGGGAGGGTGTATGATGTGTACAAGTACACAGAGAGTGACAGAACTTGTCGTTGTGCCAAGTGTCAAGTCTCTGCCACACCCAGCAAAGTGTGGGGAGAGATTCGTGTGTTGACAGCCACACACGTGGTGTTTGATGCCAGTGAGGCGAGACAGACCAGGTGTGTTTTAGGTTTTGATGACAATAAAAGTCCAGTGGTCTGTCTTGATGGCTGGGGGGTGGAGGGTAGGCCAGACATTGAGAGAGACTGGTGTTGGTTGAGTTATGTGACATGTGACTTAGAGTTGGTTGATGAACTGAACAAGATGTGTTGGCGCTTTAAAGATCTACTTGGGGAAGTAAGTTACAAATACGAGAGATTTTTTGGTGTGGACAAGTTGACCGTTATTGTGTCACATCCTCATGGCTGTCCTAAACAGGTCTCTGTAGGACAGTTGACACACAAACGTAAGAGGTTTGGCTTCATGACCAGGTACTGGTACACAACATGTACATGTCCAGGCTCCAGTGGAGCGCCTGTCTACATGCTGGGATATGTCGAGTGGTCGTATGACCATCCCCACAGTGGATCAAACTCTGAAGGAAATTATAGTGGGGAATGGAGTTTCTGATGTAACTGTTAGTTCTCTCCCCTTATCTACACAATGTAAACAAACAAAATGGCGGACCCTTTCCCGTCTTTAAACTGTTAGTGTTAAGACCTGCCAGTCTTATCAACATTTTATTACATTTAAATGATTAAAACAAATGTTTTGATTGATGTAAACCGTTTAACCGAATTAGTTTGCATGTACATTGATGGATTTTAGAGTTTTTTTTGTTTCAAATGTTGTAAATAATTGTCTCATAATTTTTGTCGACAAATTGTTGTCATATAGTACATATACTATATACCTATAGCTGGCTATTACCTGTAAATTAAATGTAACTAGCCTTTCAAATGTCATATTCAAACTGTTTGTATTTGTTTACAAAATGTTCACACTACAGACATTAAATGGTACACCAATTCCACTTAAGTCCGAATATCGATACATTTTCAGTTATTGCATGAAGATGAATTAGGGACTATATCGGTTTCATAAGTATACTCTCTGTTAAATAATTTGGTTTAAAACGATAAAAGAATTGCATAAAAATAATTATCATTAAAAAAGTTTTTAAAAACACACGTTTTCTGATTGAACTAAAAAGTAGAAAATAAATGCTATACATCACAATAATGCAAGCGATTACTCTACTTTAAGCGATCGCAAACTGCGTGCGCTAAATGACAAAAAATGAAAAACGTGGCGCGCCGTGATTTATTTACAGTTTTTAATACTGTTGACTCTCTACAAGCTCCCTAATAAAACTCAATAGTATTATCTAATCAATAGTAATATAACTTTTACATCTTATATTAACAATGACCGATAAAAAACTTTTACTTCGGTGTTGTCCTACTCCAATAGCAATGTTAAGTGCGATGGGAGACTGACACTTGTGTAAATATTTTCTTTATTCTTATTTCTTCTAAATACTTTCATCAACTGCTGATCAGACAATCGCATGTTGAAATGTAAGTCTCTCTCGTTTCTGAGTTTATCCAGCTCTAATGGGTACCTGAGTCCATCCAACTCTAATGGGTACCTGAGTCCATCCAGCTCTAATGGGTACCTGAGTAAAATCGTGAAATATAAACCCGGCTGTGACCACACACTTTATTCAATGAGAGGACCAGTCGTAGCCAATCATGGCTGAAGACAGGTAGGCCTCCGTGTCTTGACATTGTTTTACGTTAAGTAAAAGATGTATTAAGATTTTAATACATTACATACAAGTTGTTGAGATAAAATGTCCTATCAGTTTGAAAATGCTATACTGACAGCACAGTATAACAGAGTTCATTTTAAAAACGTGTTTCATCTCTCTATACTCAAGAAAGGATGCTATTAACCACCTGAGTAATTTAGGGACATTCATATATTGTATACAAATGGTTACATTATATGACGTCCTAATGACTTTTGTAATGTTTTGTTTATTTTCGGTCATAAAGTATTAGTACTTTTGGCCTTTAGTTTACGCGTGTTAATTAACTCTAAATGGACAAATGTCAATGATCAAAGGGAATTAATAATGAAATAGTTCACATACATTTCATGGTTGTCTTTCTTCTTAGTAAATTCAGAATAATAATTTTTTGCTACATACATTATTTTAAACATGAATAATAACAATACAAAAAGAGATGCTACTGTATCAGTACCAATGAGTCAACTCGTGTTATTTAGAACTTACTGAAACAGTCTTCAAGAGGCTGTTAATACAATAGTGCCAAGCTGAGTACCTACAAGCAGAGTCGTAGGGGAGGCGGGGGGGGGGGGTGCGGACCGCACCGGGTGACACCATTTAGGGGGGTGACACCTAAGCAAAAAATAGCAAAATATATCGAGAAAAACTTGAGGAAGGGGAGTTCAAATCGAAAGTTTGAGGGGGGGGGGGTGTGCAAATTGAAATTTGAAAGTTTGTCACTGGGGGGGGGGGGTTGACACCATTAAGTGCCGCACCGGGTGACACCCGAACTCGCTACGCCACTGCCTACAAGGAGACAAGTTATTGTACATGGTATCAAGCGTCTATATCGTTTGGTTTCCATAAGACAAAACAATGCATTTTGAAGTTTACAACTGAAATTTAAAACAAAACTTTAACACGTTTTTCTCTACCACTCACGTTATAAGCTTTATGTTTAGGCCACCCTAATAAGATTTTACAGGCCTGCTAGGGGATATAAGACAATATTTATCAAGATATAGACAATTGACACAGTTATATCAGAAAGAGAAAAATAAGACACGATTTGACACGATCATATATTCATAATATATTGTACTTAAAACAAAATAGAACCTACTGTCTGTTCTAGTATTACCTTCACTGTCGGTCTACTAGTTTCAGATAAACTTTCTGACTGATAGTGTCACTTACACACTCTGTCTACTACTGTCATCTATACAACCTATCTAAGATTAAACTAACTGTAAACCAATGTCTGCTACTGTCATCTATACAACCTATCTAAGATTAAACTAACTGTAAACCAACGTCTGCTAGTATCACCTACACTCTCTGTCTGCTAGTATCACCTACACTCTCTGTCTGCTAGTATCACCTACACTCTCTGTCTGCTAGTATCACCTACACTCTCTGTCTGCTAGTATCACCTACACTCTCTGTCTGCTAGTATCACCTACACTCTCTGTCTGCTAGTCTCACCTACACTCTCTGTCTGCTAGTATCACCTACACTGTCTGTCTGCTAGTATCACCTACACTCTCTGTCTGCTAGTATCACCTACACTCTCTGTCTGCTAGTATCACCTACACTGTCTGTCTGCTAGTATCACCTACACTCTCTGTCTGCTAGTATCACCTACACTCTCTGTCTGCTAGTATCACCTACACTGTCTGTCTGCTAGTATCACCTACACTCTCTGTCTGCTAGTATCACCTACACTCTCTGTCTGCTAGTATCACCTACACTCTCTGTCTGCTAGTCTCACCTACACTCTCTGTCTGCTAGTCTCACCTACACTCTCTGTCTGCTAGTATCACCTACACTCTCTGTCTGCTAGTCTCACCTACACTCTCTGTCTGCTAGTATCACCTACTCTCTCCGTCTGCTAGTCTCACCTACACTCTCTGTCTGCTAGTCTCACCTACACTACCTAAACCACCTGTAAACCAATATCAACCACTACACAATACAAGCCGACGGCAGCCTGCTACAACTACCAACTTCAATATTTACAGACACATACATATTTTTTCCATGAGCTCAATTTACGACAGAGGATTAGACAGTACAATCAACCAATAGAAACCCACGTAAAGCCTACTAAACACTGTCTATTATACTATGATAAGTGAAGTTAGAACCTAAGCAGATTTTATTTGGTCATAACACAGTGTGTGCATTGTCAGTTTACTATTTGATGTGTAGCTCTCTTTTTAAAAAGTTAATTTTACATTCAATATCTGATTTTAAAATCCCCTTTTATTGTATACGAGCCGGCCCGCGGCATAACATACGCCGCTATTTAGTTGTTTCTAATTTTCAATAATTCATAATTTGTGAATTCGACAGTACCAACGCTGACACTGAAAATATTTCTTTAAAACAATATAAGTAGCTCGTTAAGGACCATAACCCCCCCCTTCCTTCCCTCCCCCCTCCTCCCCCCCCCCTACGTTTAAAATCGTTGGCTCTGCTTGTAAACATTTAGAGTGAACACAGCTCACTAAAACCATGTAGGGGTGGGGAGGTAGGGAGAGCGTTTGCAGCTTGTTTTCTAACGGCTCGAAGAGGAGAATTATATATATAGATTAAAAACATACAAAAATGTAGTTTTTTTGCTTTTAAAAGTACTTTAATTACGCCCATCAGAAGTTCTTGACCTAACCTTTGTATTTGGTGTAACGGCAGATCTTTGTGACGCACTTGAGGCAGTGTTCTTTGATTAAATAAATTATTTTTGTATCGTGCGCACACAGTCTGTATAATGTTTATGTAATGGCTAGATTGCCCTAGCGGTTTAGTTCGATGTTGTATTCAGATATTTTATCTTTGTGTGTCAATACTTGTTTATCAATTGGATAACAATGTGTCAGCTTTTATTAAATATTTAACGACAACAAATTCTATTTTGTAAACATTTTAAATTGGATTTTTTTAAAAATCTAATCTAACACCTATAGACAATTTTATGATGGCGCAGTGAGGTCACGTAGTACTTTAAGAAGATGCCAGTTTCTCCTGATGGCAAGACACACTGGCAGAACAAGTTAGTGAAACTGTTCAAGAAGAAGTTTTAGTAAAAAAAACACGAAATTTCAATATACAAATAAGGTTTAATAATTTCTCAAAAAGTCGATTGATATAATACTAGTTGATACATTAAAGACGTATATTTTCCCACGTTTTCTTTAACTTGCTTTCTCTGTCTGTTTTTCCAATCCAATCTTGCGATCGAAATTTCTGGCACTTCCCAGTTAGCTAGCGCGCTGAAATTTTCAGGAAAGCTTTCTTTTGGATGACCATAGAATATTCAATTGTTATTATTACTAAATTGATCAATGGAAACATTTTATTGAGCATTTTAGACCGCTATATAATCTATATATATAATTCTCCTCTGCGAGCCATTAGAAAAAAAACCAGCGACGCGTAGCTAGCCTCTCTCTTGCCGCGCGCAGTGAAGCGAACGATCCCAAGTCGCGACAGGCTTAGGGGCAGATAATTTAGTTTTAACCGACTTTAAAATTACAGGAGGTAACTATTACCACTGGTGGCCAGTTTGGGGGAGACGATATGGTCGAGTGGTTGGGAACACGATTGCTATGGGGCTATCCCACTCGGCGCGGGTTCAAATCTATGTGTACTAGTCAGTAACGTATTCACACAACGTGTTTTTTACGAGTTGTCTTTTTACGAGACTTTAATGCTATACAACTTTTACGAGATTTTAATGCAAACAAACAGACAAAGACTAAAAAGTAGAAAATAATAATCATTTAAAAAGTTTTAAAAAACCCACGTTTTCTGATTGAACTAATAATAATCATTA